TCACCACCATCACCACTCACCACTCACCACATCACCACCACCACTCACCACCATCACCACATCACCACTCACCACTCACCACCACCACCACTCACCACCATCACCACTCACCACCACCACATCACCACTCACCACTCACCACCATCACCACATCACCACTCACCACTCACCACCATCACCACATCACCACTCACCACATCACCACTCACCACATCACCACCATCACCACTCACTACCATCACCACTCACCACATCACCACTCACCACATCACCACTCACCACATCACCACTCACCACCACTCACCACATCACCACTCACCACATCACCACTCACCACCATCACCACTCACCACCACTCACCACCATCACCACTCACCACATCACCACATCACCACTCACCACATCACCATCACCACTCACCACATCACCACCATCACCACTCACCACATCACCACCACTCACCACATCACCACTCACCACCACCACCACATCACATCACCACTCACCACATCACCACTCACCACCACCATCACCACTCACCATCACCACTCACCACATCACCACTCACCACATCACCACTCACCACTCACCACATCACCACCACCACTCACCACCACCACTCACCACCACCACCACATCACCACTCACCACCATCACCACTCACCACATCACCACTCACCACCATCACCACTCACCACCACTCACCACTCACCACATCACCACCATCACCACTCACCACATCACCACTCACCACATCACCACCACCACATCACCACTCACCACATCACCACCCACCACCACTCACCACCATCACCACATCACCACTCACCACATCACCACTCACCACATCACCACTCACCACCATCACCACTCACCACCATCACCACTCACCACATCACCACTCACCACCATCACCACTCACCACATCACCACTCACCACCACTCACCACATCACCACTCACCACCATCACCACTCACCACCACCACCGCTCACCACCACCACTCACCACCATCACCACTCACCACATCACCACATCACCACTCACCACATCACCACCACTCACCACATCACCACTCACCACATCACCACATCACCACTCACCACCACTCACCACCATCACCACATCACATCACCACTCACCACATCACCACTCACCACCATCACCACTCACCACCACTCACCACTCACCACATCACCACCATCACCACATCACCACTCACCACATCACCACCACCACTCACCACCATCACCACATCACCACTCACCACTCACCACCACCACCACCACATCACCACTCACCACTCACCACCATCACCACATCACCACTCACCACCATCACCACATCACCACTCACCACATCACCACTCACCACCATCACCACTCACCACCATCACCACTCACCACATCACCACTCACCACATCACCACTCACCACCATCACCACTCACCACCACCACCACCACTCACCACCACCACTCACCACCATCAACACATCACCACATCACCACTCACCACATCACCACCATCACCACTCACCACATCACCACCACTCACCACATCACCACTCACCACATCACCACTCACCACCACTCACCACATCACCACTCACCACCATCACCACTCACCACATCACCACTCACCACCACCATCACCACTCACCATCACCACTCACCACATCACCACTCACCACATCACCACTCACCACTCACCACATCACCACTCACCACCACCATCACCACTCACCATCACCACTCACCACATCACCACTCACCACCATCACATCACCACTCACCACCACATCACCACTCACCACATCACCACTCACCACCATCACCACTCACCACATCACCACTCACCACTCACCACCATCACCACATCACCACTCACCACCACATCACCACTCACCACCATCACTCACCACATCACCACATCACCACTCACCACATACCACATCACCATCACCACCACCACCACTCACCACCATCACCACATCACCACTCACCACTCACCACCATCACCACTCACCACCATCACCACGACACGGGAATTGGGCAGATGCTCAACTTTAATGTTGCCGACAATGACACCACCACCACAAACACCACCACAACCACCACCACAACAACCACCAGAACCACCACAACCACCACCAGAACCACCACCACAACCACCACCACCAGCAGCACAACCACCACAACAACCACCACCAGAACCACCACAACAACCACCACCACAACCACAACCACCATCAGAACCACCACCAGAACAACCACAACAACCACCACCAGAACCACCACAACCACCACCACCACAACAAACAACAACAACCACGACCACAACAACAACAACGCCCCATTCGACACTAAGTGGCGGTGAGCGTCATCACGGCGCCTGTACCAGGCTAGGTGCATGAGGAGGTGGTCACGTGACAGACCCAGCAGGTGCCATGGGTTGTACTGCTGTACCAGGCTAGGTGCATGAGGTCACGTGACAGACCCTGCAGCTGCCGTGGGCTGACTGCTGTGCCAGGCTAGGTGCAGGAGGAGGTGGTTGTAGTTTAGTTGTTGTGGTTGTTGAGTGGTGGTGGTTGTGGTGTAGTTGTTGTGGTTGTTGAGTTGTTGTGGTTGTTGAGTGGTTGTGGTGGTGGTCTAGTTGTTGTGGTCGTTGTGGTTGTTGAGTGGTGGTGGTGTAGTTGTTGTGGTTGTTGAGTGGTGGTGGTTGTGGTGTAGTTGTTGTGGTTGTTGAGTGGTTGTGGTTGTTGAGTGGTGGTGGTCTAGTTGTTGTGGTTGTTGAGTGGTGGTGTAGTTGTTGTTGAGTGGTGGTGGTGGTCTAGGTGTTGTGGTTGTTGTGGTTGTTGAGTGGTGGTGGTGTAGTTGTTGTGGTTGTTGAGTGGTGGTGGTGGTTGTGGTGTAGTTGCTGTGGTTGTTGTGGTTGTTGAGTGGTGGTGGTTGTGGTGTAGTTGTTGTTGTTGTTGTGGTTGTTGAGTGGTGGTGGTGGTCTAGTTGTTGTGGTTGTTGAGTGGTGGTGGTGTAGTTGTTGTGGTCTAGTGGTGGTGGTCTAGTTGTTGTGGTTGTTGAGTGGTTGTTGAGTGGTTGTTGAGTGGTTGTGGTGTAGTTGTTGTGGTCTGGTTATTGTGGTTGTTGAGTGGTGGTGGTGGTCTAGTTGTTGTGGTTGTTGAGTGGTGGTGGTTTAGTGGTGGTGGTGGTCTAGTTGTTGTGGTTGTTGTGGTTGTTGAGTGGTTGTGGTGTAGTTGTTGTGGTCTAGTTGTTGTGGTTGTTGTGGTTGTTGAGTGGTTGTGGTGTAGTTGTTGTGGTCTAGTTGTTGTGGTTGTTGAGTGGTTGTGGTGTAGTTGTGGTCTAGTTGTTGTGGTTGTTGTGGTTGTTGAGTGGTTGTGGTCTAGTTGTTGTGGTTGTTGAGTGGTTGTGGTGTAGTTGTTGTGGTCTAGTTGTTGTGGTTGTTGTGGTTGTTGAGTGGTTGTGGTCTAGTTGTTGTGGTTGTTGAGTGGTTGTGGTGTAGTTGTTGTGGTCTAGTTGTTGTGGTTGTGGTCTAGTTGTTGTGGTTGTGGTCTAGTTGTTGTGGTTGTGGTCTAGTTGTTGTGGCCTAGTTGTTGTGGTTTTTGAGTGGTTGTGGTCTTTGTGGTTGTTGAGTGGTTGTGGTCTAGTTGTTGTGGTTGCTGAGTGGTGGTGGTTTAGTGGTGGTGGTTGTTGAGTGGTAGTGGTGGTTTAGTGGTGGTGGTTTAGTGGTCTAGTTGTTGTGGTTGTTGAGTGGTTGTGGTGTAGTTGTTGTGGTCTAGTTGTTGTGGTTGTTGAGTTGTTGAGTGGTTGTGGTGTAGTTGTTGTGGTCTAGTTGTTGTAGTTGTTGTTGAGTGGTGGTGGTCTAGTTGTTGTGGTTGTTGAGTGGTTGTGGTGTAGTTGTTGTGGTCTAGTTGTTGTGGTTGTTGTGGTTGTTGAGTGGTTGTGGTGTAGTTGTTGTGGTCTAGTTGTTGTGGTTGTTGAGTGGTTGTGGTGTAGTTGTTGTGGTTGGTGAGTGGTGGTGGTTAAGTGGTTGTGGTCTAGTTGTTGTGGTTGTTGTGGTTGTTGAGTGGTTGTGGTGTAGTTGTTGTGGTGTAGTTGTTGTGGTTGTTGTGGTTGTTGAGTGGTTGTGGTGTAGTTGTTGTGGTCTAGTTGTTGTGGTTGTTGAGTGGTGGTTTAGTGGTGGTGGTGTAGTTGTTGTGGTTGTTGAGTGGTGGTGGTTTAGTGGTGCTGGTTGTGGTCTAGTTGTTGTGGTTGTTGAGTGGTAGTGGTGGTCTAGTTGTTGTGGTTGTTGTGGTTGTTGAGTGGTTGTGGTGTAGTTGTTGTGGGCTAGTTGTTGTGGTTGTTGAGTGGTTGTGGTGTAGTTGTTGTGGTTGTTGAGTGGTGGTGGTTGTGGTGTAGTTGTTGTGGTTGTTGAGTGGTGGTGGTCTAGTTGTTGTGGTAGTTGTGGTTGTTGTTGAGTGGTTGTGGTGTAGTTGTTGTGGTCTAGTTGTTGTGGTTGTGGTTGTTGTGGTTGTTGAGTGGTTGTGGTCTAGTTGTTGTGGTTGTTGAGTGGTTGTGGTCTAGTTGTTGTGGTTGTTGAGTGGTTGTGGTGTAGTTGTTGTGGTCTAGTTGTTGTGGTTGTTGAGTGGTTGTGGTCTAGTTGTTGTGGTTGTTGAGTGGTTGTGGTGTAGTTGTTGTGGTCTAGTTGTTGTGGTTGTTGAGTGGTGGTGGTTTAGTGGTGGTGGTCTAGTTGTTGTGGTTGTTGAGTGGTGTGGTGTAGTTGTTGTGGTCTAGTTGTTGTGGTTGTTGAGTGGTTGTGGTGTAGTTGTTGTGGTCTAGTTGTTGTGGTTGTTGTGGTTGTTGTGGTTGTGGTGTAGTTGTTGTGGTTGTTGAGTGGTGGTGGTGGTTTAGTGGTCTAGTTGTTGTGGTTGTTGAGTGGTTGTTGAGTGGTTGTTGAGTGGTTGTTGAGTGGTTTAGTGGTCTAGTTGTTGTGGTTGTTGAGTGGTGGTTTAGTGGTGGTGGTCTAGTTGTTGTGGTTGTTGAGTGGTGGTGGTTTAGTGGTCTAGTTGTTGTGGTTATTGAGTGGTGGTGGTTTAGTGGTGGTGGTCTAGTTGTTGTGGTTGTTGAGTTGTTGCTGCAACAGCAGGATGCTGTGCCGCTGGACGGGAGGTAGCAGCGCTATCTGCTCCGGAGTGAGCTGGAGCACCTGCATGATCAACGCAGCCTGCACCACCACAACAACAACAACAACCATCAACAACAACAATAACCATCATCAACAACCATCAACAACAACAATAACCATCATCAACAACCATCAACAACAATAACCATCATCAACAACCAACAACAACAATAAACATCATCAACAACCAACAACAACAATAACCATCATCAGCAACAACCATCAACAACCATCACCTGCATGATCAACGCAGCCTGCACATCCACAACAACAACCATCATCAACAACCAACAACAACAATAACCATCATCAGCAACAACCAACAACAACAATAACCATCATTAACAACCAACAACAACAATAACCATCATCAGCAACAATCAACAACAACAATAACCATCATCAACAACAACCATCACCTGCATGATCAACGCAGCCTGCACCACCACCACAACAACAACAATCAACAACAACAACAATAACCATCATCAACAACCAACAACAACAATAACCATCAACAACAACCACCACCAACAACAACCACCACCACCAACAACAAACACCAACAACAACAAACACCAACAACAACAACCACCAACAACAACAACCACCACCAACAACAACCACCACCAACAACAACAAACACCAACAACCACCAACAACAACAATAACCATCATCAACAACAACCACCACCAACAACAACCACCACCAACAACAACAAACACCAACAACCACCAACAACAACAATAACCATCATCAACAACAACCACCACCACCACCACAACAACAACAACCACCAACAACAACAACCATCAACAACAACCATCAACAACAACCACCAACAACAACAACCACTAACAACAACAATAACCATCATCAACAACCATAAACAACAACCATCATCAACAACCACCAACAACAATAACCATCAACAACAACCACAACAACAACCACCACCAACAACCATCAACAACAACCATCACCTGCATGATCAACGCAGCCTGCACCACCACCACCACAACAACAACAACCATCAACAACAACCATCAACGTAAAACTACGTGGCCGGGAGTCAGAGCCATTCCCTGTACACCTTGGGGTGCGACAGGGATGTCCTCTGGCTCCCACATTATTTAACATCTATTTTGACCACGTAGTTCGTGAAGCCTTCAATAGCTGTACCGGGGGAATCTCCATTTGGTACAGATATAATGGGAGGCTGATCGATGCCCGGGAGCGCCGGGTGGCTAAAGCACAGCAGGTTGGCACAGTAGGGGGCACAGGTGGTGCATCAGCCAGTCATCTCAGTCAGTCATCTCAGCCAGTCATCTCAGTCAGTCGACCCGTGGCACCTGCTGGGTCTGCCCCGTGACCTCCTGCCAGCGGGCGTTCGACACTTCACGTGGCCTCAGGGTGCACATAGCCTGGCACAAGCGTCGTGGTGACGTCACCGCCACTTAGTGGCGAATGGCGGTTGTTGTTGTTGTTGTGTCAGTGAGTGAGTGGTGAGTGTATGAGTGAGTGAGTGGCTGAGTGAGTGAGTGGTGAGTGAGTGGTGAGTGAGTGGTGAGTAAGTGGTGAGTGAGTGAGTGGTGTGAGTGGTGAGTGTGAGTGGTGAGTGAGTGGCTGAATGAGTGAGTGGTGAGTAAGTTGTGAGTGAGTGGTGAGTAAGTTGTGAGTGAGTGGTGAGTGTGTGAGTGAGTGGTGAGTGAGTGGTGAGTGAGTGAGTGGTGAGTGAGTGGTGAGTAAGTGGTGAGTGAGTGAGTGGTGTGTGAGTGGTGAGTGAGTGGTGAGTGAGTGTATGAGTGAGTGTATGAGTGAGTGGTGAGTAAGTGAGTGGTGAGTAATTGGTGAGTGAGTGAGTGAGTGGTGAGTAAGTGGTGAGTGAGTGAGTGGTGAGTGAGTGACTGAGTGAGTGAGTAATTGGTGAGTGAGTGGTGAGTGAGTGGTGAGTGAGTGGTGAGTAATTGGTGAGTGAGTGGTCCTCACCTTTTCCTGCTCTTCAGAAGCTGTTGAACTCTGTTGCTGTATTGGAGGAGCTGGGTTCAAAGTCACCGACCTGGGGTCACGACCTTAGAGGGGAGAGAGGGGGGGGGGTGACCTATTGACCTCAGTAAAGGGGGGATCACAGTTGAAGGCGGAGGTCACAGGCCAAAGGTTACCTGGAGGCAGTGCTGAACTCCGGGGGTCGAAGGTCACAGCGGGCCGAGCGTCGAACCCTGGGGTGACATCATCAGCACGACTGTGACATCACAACCACCACAACCACCACAACCACAACAACCACAACAACCACCACCACAACCACCAACCACAACCACCAACCACCACAACCACCACCACAACAACCACAACAACCACAACCACCACAACAACCACCACAACCACCAGCACCACAACAACCACAACAACCACCACAACCACCACCAACAACAAAACCACCACAACCACTACCACAACCACCAACCACCACAACAACCACCACCACCACAACCACCACCACAACCACCACCACCACAACCACCACCACAACCACCACCACAACAACCACCACAACCACCACCACAACCACCACCACCACAACCATCACCACCACCACAACAACCACCACAACAACCACCACAACAACCACCACAACCACCACCACAACCATCACCACAACAACCACCACCACTACCACCACCACAACTACCACCACCACCACAACCACCACCACTACCACAACCACCACAACCACCACCACCACAACCACCACAACCACCACCACAACCACCACCACAACCACCACCACCACAACCACCACCACAACCACCACCACAACCACCACCACCAGAACCACCACCACAACCACCACAACCACCACCACAACCACCACCACAACCACCACCACAACCACCACCACCACAACCACCACAACCACCACCACAACCACCACCACAACCACCACCACCACCACAACCACCACCACCACCACAACCACCACCACCACAACCACCAACACAACGCTTGTTGTTGTGGTGGTGGTTGTGGTGGTGGTTGTTGTGGTGGTGTTTGTTGTTATGGTTGTTGTGGTTGTTGATGTGGTTGTGGTTGTTGTGGTGGTGTTTGTTGTTATGGTTGTTGTGGTGGTTGTGGTGGTGGTTGTGGTGGTTGTGTTGGTGGTTGTGGTGGTGGTTGTGGTGGTGGTTGTGGTGGTGGTTGTTGTGGTTGTTGTGGTGGTTGTTGTTATGGTTGTTGTGGTTGTTGTTGTGGTTGTTGTGGTGGTTGTTGTGGTTGTGGTGGTTGTGGTGGTTGTGGTGGTGGTTGTTGTAGTTGTGGTGGTTGTTGTGGTTGTTGTTGTGGTTGTTGTGGTGGTTGTTGTGGTTATTGTGGTGGTTGTTGTGGTTGTTGTGGTGGTTGTTGTGGTTGTTGTGGTGGTTGTTGTGGTGGTTGTTGTTGTGGTTGTTGTGGTGGTTGTTGTGGTGGTTGTTGTGGTGGTTGTTGTGGTGGTTGTTGTGGTTGTGGTGGTGGTTGTTGTAGTTGTGGTGGTTGTTGTGGTTGTTGTTGTGGTTGTTGTGGTGGTTGTTGTGGTTGTTGTGGTGGTTGTTGTGGTGGTTGTTGTGGTGGTTGTTGTGGTGGTTGTTGTGGTGGTTGTTGTGGTGGTTGTTGTGGTTGTTGTTGTGGTTGTTGTTGTGGTGGTTGTTGTTGTGGTTGTTGTTGTTGTGGTTGTTGTTGTTGTGGTTGTTGTTGTTGTTGTTGTGGTTGTTGTTGTGGTTGTTGTTGTGGTGGTTGTTGTTGTGGTTGTTGTTGTTGTGGTTGTTGTTGTTGTGGTTGTTGTTGTGGTTGTTGTGGTTGTTGTTGTGGTTGTTGTTGTGGTGGTTGTTGTTGTTGTTGTGGTTGTTGTGGTTGTTGTTGTTGTGGTTGTTGTTGTTGTTGTTGTTGTTCTACCTTTAGCGGCTCGTGGGTCATGTGACCCAGCAGCAGCAGCAGCCAAAAAGTCCCTGCCGACCAATCACAGAACTCGTTACTCACACAGCCAGGAAATTCGACTAATCACAGCGCTCCATACTCAGTGAACCCTCCCTCCAGTAGTCACACCCCCCACTAGCCCCTCCCCCCTCTCACCCCCCCCCCCCCCCCCCCTAGCCCCCCCCCTCTCACCCCCCCATGACCCCCACCCACCCCTCACCCCTCCTCTCACCCCCCCATGACCCCCACCCACCCCTCACCCCCCTTGACCCCACCATGACCCCCACCCACCCCTCCCCCCTCTCATCCCCCCATGACCCCCACCCACCCCTCCCCCTCTCCCCCCCCCATGACCCCCACCCACCCCTCCCCCCCATGACCCCCCCATGACCCCCACCCACCCCTCACCCCCCTCTCACCCCTTGACCCCCACCCACCCCTCCCCCTCTCACCCCCCCCTCCCCCCTCCTCTCACCCCCCATGACCCCCACCCACCCCACCCACCCCTCCCCCCCATGACCCCCCACCCACCCCTCCCCCCCATGACCCCCCCATGACCCCCACCCACCCCTCCCCCCTCTCACCCCCCTCCCCCCCCACCCCAGCTCAATGCCTGCTGTTGTTGGAGCTTGAGACTCCCTGTTGCAGTGGTTGTTGTAGTAGTTGTTGTGGTTGTTGTTGTGGTTGTTGTTGTTGTGGTTGTTGTTGTTGTGGTTGTTGTTGTTGTTGCTGCTGCTGCTGTTCAACTGCTGCAGAGAGAGAGGGAGAGGGAGGGGAGAGATGGTGAGGGTGGTGAGTGTGGTGAGGATGGTGGTGGTGAGGATGGTGGTGGTGATGGTGGTGGTGAGGGTGGTGGTGAGGGTGGTGGTGAGAATGGTGGTGAGTGTAGTGGTGAGTGTAGTAGTGAGGATGGTGGTGAGTGTAGTGGTGAGTGTAGTAGTGAGGATGGTGGTGAGTGTAGTGGTGAGGGTGGTGGTGAGTGTAGTGGTGAGGGTGGTGATGAGTGTAGTGGTGAGTGTAGTGGTGAGGGTGGTGGTGAGTGTAGTGGTGAGGGTGGTGGTGAGTGTAGTGGTGAGTGTAGTGGTGAGTGTAGTGGTGAGGGTGGTGGTGAGTGTAGTGGTGAGTGTAGTGGTGAGAATGGTGGTGAGTGTAGTGGTGAGTGTAGTGGTGAGGGTGGTGGTGAGTGTAGTGGTGAGTGTAGTGGTGAGTGTAGTGGTGAGTAGTGGTGAGTGTAGTGGTGAGTGTAGTGGTGAGTGTAGTGGTGAGTGTAGTGGTGAGAATGGTGGTGAGTGTAGTGGTGAGTGTAGTGGTGAGAATGGTGGTGAGTGTAGTGGTGAGTGTAGTGGTGAGTGTAGTGGTGAGGGTGGTGGTGAGTGTAGTGGTGAGGGTGGTGGTGAGTGTAGTGGTGAGTGTAGTGGTGAGTGTAGTGGTGAGGGTGGTGGTGAGTGTAGTGGTGAGTGTAGTGGTGAGAATGGTGGTGAGTGTAGTGGTGAGTGTAGTGGTGAGGGTGGTGGTGAGTGTAGTGGTGAGTGTAGTGGTGAGTGTAGTGGTGAGTAGTGGTGAGTGTAGTGGTGAGTGTAGTGGTGAGTGTAGTGGTGAGTGTAGTGGTGAGAATGGTGGTGAGTGTAGTGGTGAGTGTAGTGGTGAGAATGGTGGTGAGTGTAGTGGTGAGTGTAGTGGTGAGTGTAGTGGTGAGTGTAGTGGTGAGTGTAGTGGTGAGTAGTGGTGAGTGTAGTGGTGAGTGTAGTGGTGAGTAGTGGTGAGTGTAGTGGTGAGTGTAGTGGTGAGTGTAGTGGTGAGTGTAGTGGTGAGAATGGTGGTGAGTGTAGTGGTGAGTGTAGTGGTGAGGGTGGTGGTGAGTGTAGTGGTGAGTGTAGTGGTGAGGATGGTGGTGAGTGTAGTGGTGAGTGTAGTGGTGAGTGTAGTGGTGAGGATGGTGGTGAGTGTAGTGGTGAGAATGGTGGTGAGTGTAGTGGTGAGTGTAGTGGTGAGGATGGTGGTGAGTGTAGTGGTGAGTGTAGTAGTGAGTGTAGTGGTGAGTGTAGTGGTGAGTGTAGTGGTGAGGATGGTGGTGAGGATGGTGGTGAGTGTAGTGGTGAGGATGGTGGTGAGTGTAGTGGTGAGTGTAGTGGTGAGGATGGTGGTGAGGATGGTGGTGAGTGTAGTGGTGAGTGCAGTGGTGAGGATGGTGGTGAGTGTAGTGGTGAGTGTAGTGGTGAGTGTAGTGGTGAGTGTAGTAGTGAGTGTAGTGGTGAGTGTAGTGGTGAGTGTAGTGGTGAGTGTAGTGGTGAGGATGGTGGTGAGTGTAGTGGTGAGTGTAGTGGTGAGGATGGTGGTGAGTGTAGTGGTGAGTGTAGTAGTGAGTGTAGTGGTGAGTGTAGTGGTGAGTGTAGTGGTGAGGATGGTGGTGAGGATGGTGGTGAGTGTAGTGGTGAGGATGGTGGTGAGTGTAGTGGTGAGTGTAGTGGTGAGGATGGTGGTGAGGATGGTGGTGAGGATGGTGGTGAGTGTAGTGGTGAGTGCAGTGGTGAGGATGGTGGTGAGTGTAGTGGTGAGTGTAGTGGTGAGTGTAGTGGTGAGTGTAGTAGTGAGTGTAGTGGTGAGTGTAGTGGTGAGTGTAGTGGTGAGTGTAGTGGTGAGGATGGTGGTGAGTGTAGTGGTGAGTGTAGTGGTGAGGATGGTGGTGAGTGTAGTGGTGTGTGTAGTAGTGGTGAGTGTAGTGGTGAGTGTAGTGGTGAGTGTAGTGGTGAGTGTAGTGGTGAGTGTAGTAGTGAGAGTAGTGGTGAGTGCAGTGGTGAGGATGGATGGTGAGTGTAGTGGTGAGTGTAGTGGTGAGTGTAGTGGTGGTGAGTGTAGTGGTGAGTGTAGTGGTGGTGAGTGTAGTGGTGAGTGTAGTGGTGAGGATGGTGGTGAGGATGGTGAGTGTAGTGGTGAGTGTAGTGGTGGTGAGTGTAGTGGTGAGGATGGTGGTGAGTGTAGTGGTGAGGATGGTGGTGAGTGTAGTGGTGGGTGAGTGTAGTGGTGAGGATGGTGGTGAGTGTAGTGGTGAGTGTAGTGGTGAGGGTGGTGGTGAGGATGGTGGTGAGTGTAGTGGTGAGGATGGTGGTGAGTGTAGTGGTGAGTAGTGGTGAGGATGGTGGTGAGTGTAGTGGTGAGTGTAGTGGTGAGTGTAGTGGTGAGTGTAGTAGTGAGTGTAGTGGTGAGTGTAGTGGTGAGTGTAGTGGTGGTGAGTGTAGTGGTGAGGATGGTGGTGAGTGTAGTGGTGAGTGTAGTGGTGAGTGTAGTGGTGAGGGTGGTGGTGAGGATGGTGGTGAGTGTAGTGGTGAGGGTGGTGGTGAGGATGGTGGTGAGTGTAGTGGTGAGAATGGTGGTGAATGTAGTGGTGAGTGTAGTGGTGAGGATGGTGGTGAGTGTAGTGGTGATGGTGGTGGTGAGGGTGGTGAGGATGGTGGTGAGTGTAGTGGTGAGGATGGTGGTGAGTGTAGTGGTGAGTGTAGTGGTGAGGATGGTGGTGAGTGTAGTGGTGAGTGTAGTGGTGAGTGTAGTGGTGAGGATGGTGGTGAGTGTAGTGGTGAGGATGGTGGTGAGTGTAGTGGTGAGTGTAGTGGTGAGTGTAGTGGTGAGTGTAATGGTGAGGATGGTGGTGAGTGTAGTGGTGAGTGTAGTGGTGAGGATGGTGGTGAGTGTAGTGGTGAGTGTAGTGGTGAGGATGGTGGTGAGTGTAGTGGTGAGGATGGTGGTGAGTGTAGTGGTCAGGGTGGTGGTGAGTGTAGTGGTGAGTGTAGTGGTGAGGATGGTGGTGAGTGTAGTGGTGAGTGTAGTGGTGAGTGTAGTGGTGAGTGTAGTGGTGAGGATGGTGGTGAGTGTAGTGGTGAGGATGGTGGTGAGGATGGTGAGTGTAGTGGTGAGGATGGTGGTGAGTGTAGTGGTGAGGGTGGTGGTGAGGGTGGTGGTGAGGATAGTGGTGAGGATGGTGGTGAGGGTGGTGGTGAGGATGGTGGTGGTGAGTGTAGTGGTGATGGTGGTGGTGAGGGTGGTGAGGATGGTGGTGAGTGTGGTGGTGAGGATGGTGGTGAGTGTGGTGGTGAGTGTGGTGGTGAGTGTAGTGGTGATGGTGGTGAGTGTAGTGGTGAGTGTAGTGGTGAGGGTGGTGAGTGTAGTGGTGAGTGTAGTGGTGAGGATGGTGGTGAGTGTAGTGGTGAGTGTAGTGGTGAGTGTAGTGGTGGTGAGTGTAGTGGTGAGTGTAGTGGTGAGGATGGTGGTGAGTGTAGTGGTGAGTAGTGGTGAGTGTAGTGGTGAGGATGGTGGTGAGTGTAGTGGTGAGTGTAGTGGTGAGTGTAGTGGTGGTGAGGATGGTGAGTGTAGTGGTGAGGGTGGTGGTGAGTGTAGTGGTGAGTGTAGTGGTGAGTGTAGTAGTGAGTGTAGTGGTGAGTGTAGTGGTGAGTGTAGTGGTGAGGATGGTGGTGAGGATGGATGGTGAGTGTAGTGGTGAGTGTAGTGGTGAGTGTAGTGGTGAGGATGGTGGTGAGTGTAGTGGTGAGTGTAGTGGTGAGTGTAGTGGTGAGGATGGTGGTGAGTGTAGTGGTGAGTGTAGTGGTGAGGATGGTGGTGAGTGTAGTGGTGAGTGTAGTGGTGAGGATGGTGGTGAGTGTAGTGGTGAGTGTAGTAGTGGTGAGTGTAGTGGTGAGTGTAGTGGTGAGTGTAGTGGTGAGGATGGTGGTGAGTGTAGTGGTGAGTGTAGTGGTGAGTGTAGTGGTGAGTGTAGTGGTGAGGATGGATGGTGAGTGTAGTGGTAAGTGTAGTGGTGAGTGTAGTGGTGGTGAGTGTAGTGGTGAGTGTAGTGGTGAGGATGGTGGTGAGTGTAGTGGTGAGTGTAGTGGTGAGGATGGTGTTGAGTGTAGTGGTGAGTGTAGTGGTGAGTGTAGTGGTGAGGGTGGTGGTGAGTGTAGTGGTGAGTGTAGTAGTGAGTGTAGTGGTGGTGAGTGTAGTGGTGAGTGTAGTGGTGAGGGTGGTGGTGAGTGTAGTGGTGAGTGTAGTGGTGAGTGTAGTGGTGAGAGTAGTGGTGAGTGTAGTGGTGAGGATGGATGGTGAGTGTAGTGGTGAGTGTAGTGGTGAGTGTAGTGGTGGTGAGTGTAGTGGTGAGTGTAGTGGTGAGGATGGTGGTGAGTGTAGTGGTGAGTGTAGTGGTGAGTGTAGTGGTGAGGGTGGTGGTGAGGATGGTGAGTGTAGTGGTGAGGATGGTGGTGAGTGTAGTGGTGAGTGTAGTGGTGAGTGTAGTGGTGAGGGTGGTGGTGAGTGTAGTGGTGAGTGTAGTGTTGAGTGTAGTGGTGAGTGTAGTGGTGAGTGTAGTAGTGAGGATGGTGGTGAGGATGGATGGTGAGTGTAGTGGTGAGTGTAGTGGTGAGTGTAGTGGTGAGGATGGTGGTGAGTGTAGTGGTGAGTGTAGTGGTGAGTGTAGTGGTGAGTGTAGTGGTGAGGATGGAGTCCACTCACCGCTAGGCCCCATGTTGAGAGTTTGCACCGCTGGCCGACTGCCTGGAGTTACCAACACCTAGACCACGGTAACCATGGCAACAACCACGTTAACAACCACGGTAACCATGGCAACCACCACGTTAACAACCACATTGACCACCACGTTGACCACCACGGTAATAACCACTGTATCAACAATAACCACCACAACCACCACAACCACCACCACACCCACCACCACAACCACCACAACAACCACCACAACCACCACCACACCCACCACCACCACCACCACCACAACCACCACCACCACAACCACCACCACAACCACCACCACAACCACAACCACCACCACAACAACCACCACCACAACCACCAACACAACCACAACCACCAACACAACTACCACCACAACCACCACCACCACAACCACCACCACCACAACCACCACAACCACCATCACAACAACCACCACCACCATCACAACCACCACCATCACAATCACCACCACAACAACCACAACCACCACCACAACCACCATTACAACCACCCCAACCACCACCACAACCACCACCACCACAACCACCACCACAACCACCATTACAACAACAACAACAACCACCACCACCACCACCACCACTATTCACCTGGGACCCTGAGGGTTGTTCCTGGGCGGTTGTTGCAGGCGCTGCCGTAGATGGTGGTGGCTGTTCTTGTGGTTGTTGTTGTTGTGGTGGTGGTGGTGGTGGTGGTTGTGCGGCAGCTGTGGTGGTGGTGGTGGTGGTGGTTGTGGCTGCAGCAGCAGCAGCAGCAGCAGCCACAACCATGGACTCCAACTCAGACTCATCAAACTCCGTGGTTGAGAGCAACTTCTGATAGAGGGGGGAGGAGGAGAGAGGTTGTGGTGGTTGTGGTGGTGGTTGTGGTGGTGGTTGTGGTGGTGGTTGTGGTGGTGGTTGTGGTGGTGGTGGTTGTGGTGGTGGTGGTGGTGGTGGTGGTTGTGGTGGTGGTTCTGGTTCTGGTGGTGGTTGTGGTGGTGGTTGTGGTGGTGGTTGTGGTGGTTGTGGTGGTGGTGGTTGTGATGGTGGTTGTGGTGGTTGTTGTGGTGGTGGTAGTGATTGTGGTGGTAGTGGTTGTGGTGGTGGTTGTGGTGGTGGCGGTGGTTGCTAGGGTGGTGGTTGTTGTGGTTGCTAGGGTGGTGGTTGTGATGGTTCCTAGGGTGGTGGTTGTTGTGGTTGCTAGGGTGGTGGTTGCTAGGGTGGTGGTTGTTGTGGTTGCTAGGGTGGTGGTTATTGTGGTTACTAGGGTGGTGGTTGCTAGGGTGGTGGTTGTGATGGTTCCTAGGGTGGTGGTTGCTAGGGTGGTGCTTGTCGTGGTTGCTAGGGTGGTGGTTGTTGTGGTTGCTAGGGTGGTGGTTGTTGTGGTTGCTAGGGTGGTGGTTGTTGTGGTTGCTAGGGTGGTGGTTGTCGTGGTTGCTAGGGTGGTGGTTGCTAGGGTGGTGGTTGTTGTGGTTGCTAGGGTCGTGGTTATTGTGGTTGCTAGGGTGGTGGTTGCTAGGGTGGTGGTTGTTGTGGTTGCTAGGGTGGTGGTTGTTGTGGTTGCTAGGGTGGTGGTTGTTGTGGTTGCTAGGGTGGTGGTTGTTGTGGTTGATAGGGTGGTGGTTGCTAGGGTGGTGGTTGTTGTGGTTGCTAGGGTGGTGGTTATTGTGGTTACTAGGGTGGTGGTTGCTAGGGTGGTGGTTGTGATGGTTCCTAGGGTGGTGGTTGCTAGGGTGGTGCTTGTCGTGGTTGCTAGGGTGGTGGTTGTTGTGGTTGCTAGGGTGGTGGTTGTTGTGGTTGCTAGGGTGGTGGTTGTTGTGGTTGCTAGGGTGGTGGTTGTCGTGGTTGCTAGGGTGGTGGTTGCTAGGGTGGTGGTTGTTGTGGTTGCTAGGGTCGTGGTTATTGTGGTTGCTAGGGTGGTGGTTGCTAGGGTGGTGGTTGTTGTGGTTGCTAGGGTGGTGGTTGTTGTGGTTGCTAGGGTGGTGGTTGTTGTGGTTGCTAGGGTGGTGGTTGTTGTGGTTGATAGGGTGGTGGTTGCTAGGGTGGTGGTTGTTGTGGTTGCTAGGGTGGTGGTTATTGTGGTTGCTAGGGTGGTGGTTGCTAGGGTGGTGGTTGTTGTGGTTGCTAGGGTGGTGGTTGTTGTGGTTGCTAGGGTGGTGGTTGTTGTGGTTGCTAGGGTGGTGGTTGTTGTGGTTGATAGGGTGGTGGTTGCTAGGGTGGTGGTTGTTGTGGTTGCTAGGGTGGTGGTTATTGTGGTTACTAGGGTGGTGGTTGCTAGGGTGGTGGTTGTGATGGTACCTAGGGTGGTGGTTGCTAGGGTGGTGGTTGTTGTGGTTGCTAGGGTGGTGGTTGTTGTGGTTGCTAGGGTGGTGGTTGCTCGAGTGGTGGTAGTTGTGGTTGCTAGGGCGGTGGTTGTGATGGTTCCTAGGGTGGTGGTTGCTAGGGTGGTGCTTGTTGTGGTTGCTAGGGTGGTGGTTATTGTGGTTACTAGGGTGGTGGTTGCTAGGGTGGTGCTTGTCGTGGTTCCTAGGGTGGTGGTTGTTGTGGTTGCTAGGGTGGTGGTTGTTGTGGTTGCTAAGGGTGGTGGTTGCTAGGGTGGTGCTTGTCGTGGTTACTAGGGCAATGGCTGAGGTTGCTAAAGAGAGGCGGAGGGGGCGTGGCCTTGGGGGGTGGGGTTACCACGGCGACGGTCACCGAGGGCGACGGTCGCCGCGAGAGGCGGGGGGGGGGGGGCGTGGCCTTGGGGGGGGTGGTGGGTGGGGGGGGTGGGGTTACCATGGCGACGGCGGGGTCCACGATCCTCATGACAACCTGAGCCTGCAACAGGGCGTAGGAGAGCTGCGGGTTCTGGCGCAGCATCGCACGAGCATCACGTGGGTTGTTCTGTGTGC